CTCCCCCCTCTATATCTCTTAAGTGTCTCCACTCCCATATATACTATCTTCACTCAGGCCTCATTTAGTCAAACATGTACCATAACACCATTTCCGTGTATAATCCCCCCTTTACTAGGATGTCACTAAATTCCTATATCTTTTAGCTGTTTCTTGATCTCTTGTGCAAGTCCCCTCTAATATGGACAAAGGTTTAACTAACACATCCATAAAAGGTAATTTTAAAAGAGCACCCTCCCCAATGAATTCTGCCTTAGTCAGGCTGCATAAACATTACACCGTTTCTGGTCAGGAATGGGACAGAGTTCTTTTAGTTTTAGCTACAAAACATATTTATGGGGGAAAATGGACAAATTGCCCCATTATTACAATTTTAATATGTACATTTATCTCATTTTAAGGGTTCTGAAATTGAGAGGAAACAATTTATATTTACATTTAAGGTGGTGGTGTTCATTGTGATCCACAACAGATGTAATTAAATCAATGGTGCATCATACAATTAATATGTCCTAAGTGTGATAAAATAATATATTAATTGTTTTTTCAGTCCCCTACAGTACTCTTGTCATGGCTAGAGGTTTAAAACATATTTTATTATTAGGCTAATGTGATGGAATAATATAATGATAAATTCAAAAATAATATAAAACATTAAATAGTGAATTTTATGGCAATGTGTACTGATTTTTATTAATGTATTGTCTATTAAAGAAGAATTCCATGAAAGCGGAATGTGCAGAGCAGAAATTATAGTTATAACTATAATGACAGTGAATAGTGACTCCAATGGCATTTAACAGATGTTCTATTTTCTAAGTAACAGCTGCTTGATGCATTCATTGTACAAAGTTAATGATCTGCTAGTGTTATTTCACTTCACAGATAAATTACTATGCTCTCTTAAAAAAAGATGTAATTTTTCATGGGAATGATAGTGTAACAGACTTTAGAAATAAGTAATAGTTCTCATGCTTTTATAGCTAAAAGGGGTGATGAGTTGAGGCAATTATCCAGATAATCTAGGACCAGAGGCCAGATTCTTTAAACGGTGAAAGGTGATTACTTAAAAAAATACAGGGCATGGTTGGCTGAACTGCATGTAGATCTTTTAAGACTGCTTATATCGCATCATCTAGTGGTTCTCAAACTTGCCTGACTATTAGAAACCACTGCCACCTTCATACTAATAAAAAAGAATATCTGGGGGTGGATCCCAAGCACGAGTAGTCTTTTAAAGTTTCCTGAGGACAACTGGCAAAAAAAGAATAACACATTCTGTCCCAAGATTTTAATATGTGGTTGTCCACATTGGAAATGAATAAGGAAAATGGTCATCATTTGCAGATGACATTATATTGTACATAGAAAAACCTAAAGACCCAACCAAAAAACTACTAGATTTAATAATTGAATTAGGCAGTGGAGCAGGATACACAATCAACATCCAGAAATTCATGGCATTTTTATACACCAATAATGAATTATCAGAGAGAGAAAACTAAAAAAATAATCCCATTTACCATTACAATAAAAAATATGTATGTAAGATATCTTGGAATAAACTTAACCAAGGAGTCAAAAGTTCTGTACTTGGAAAACTACAGGACAATGAAAAAAGACATAGAGGAAGATACAAACAAGTGGAAACATATACCGTGTTCATGGATTGGTAGAATTAACATCATTAAAATGTCCATACCACCCAAAGCAACCTATAGATTCAATGAAATCCCTATTAAAATACTAACAGCACATTTCACAGATCTAGAACAAATACTCCAAAAATTTATATGGCACCAAAAAAGCCCCCAAATAGCTACAGCAATTTTGAGAAAGAAGAACAAAGTTGAAGTAATCACAATACTGGATATCAAACTATACTACAAAGCAACTGTAATCAAAACAGCTTAGTATTGGCACAAGAACAGGCATACAGATCAATGGACAGAACACAGAACCTGGAAACTGACCCACATCATTACAATATATTAACATTTGACAAAGGAGGCAAGAACATACAGTGGAGTAAAGACAGTCTCTTCAATAAATGGTGTTGGGAAAATTGGACAAGTACACATAAACAAAAGAAACTGAATCACCAACTTATACCATGAATGAACTCAAAATGGATAAAATACTTAAATGTAAGATGTGAAACCATTAAAATCCTAGAAAAAAAAACCCCACACATAAGCAGAAACATCTCAGACATATCACAGAGCAGAATTTTCACCAGTACATCTCCTGGGGCAAGAGAAAGAATGGCAAAAATAAAGACATGGGACTACATTAAACTAAAAGGCTTCTGAACAGCAAAAGAAACCATCACTGCCCTGGTCTGTGTGACGCAGTGGGTTGGAGGATCATCCTGTGCACCAAAAGGTCACCTGTTCAATTCCAGGTTACGGCACTTGCCCAGGTTGGAGGCTCCATACCCAATAGGGGCATGGAGGAGGCAGCCAACCCATGTTTCTCTCTCATATCAATGTTTCTTTCTCTCCTTTCCCTTCTTCAATCTCTAAAATCAATTTAAAAACATTTAAAAAAGAAAATAAACAATCAGCAAAATGAAAGGGAACCCATTGTATGGGAGAACATATTTGCCAATGACACATCTGGAAAGGGGTTAATTTCTAAAATATATAAAGAACTCATATGGCTTAGCAAAAAGGAAGACAAATAACCCAACTAAAAGAATGGGCACAAGACCTGAATAGGTACTTCTCCAAAGAGGACATACAGGTGGCCAACAGACATATGAAAAAATGCCCAAGTCACTAATCACCAGAGAGATGCAAATTAAAACGACAATGAGGTATGACCTCACACCTGCCAGAATGGCTTCCATGAACAAATCAACAAACAAGTGTTGCTGAGGATGTGGAGAAAAGGGAACCCTGATATAGTGTTGGTGGGAATGCAGACTGATGCAGCCACTAGTGAATACAGTATGGAATTTCCTCAAACAATTAAATATGAAGCTGCCATTTGACCTAGTGATCCCACTTCTAGGAATATATCCTAAGAAACCCAGAACACCAATCAGAAGGAATATGTGCACCCCTATATTCGTTTATAGCAGTGTTACTTATAATAGCTAAGATCTGGAAACAGATCAAGTGCCTGTCAGTAGATGAATGGATAAAAAAGCTGTGGCACATTTACACAGTGGAATACTATGCAGGTAGAATAAAAGATCTCTAACCCTTTGCAACAACATGAATGGACCAGGAAAATATTACACTGAGTGAAATAAGTCAGAGAAAGAAAAATACCACATGATCTCATTTTTAAGTATAATCTAGTGAACATAATAAATTGATGAACAAAATAGGTGCAGAGGTATGGAGGTATTGAACAGACTGACAGATCTCAGAAGGAAGTGGTGGAAGACAGGAAGTAATTAACCAAGGAACTTATATACATACTACAGGCCCAGCACACGATTAAATCATGCATGTGTAGGGTCCCCTAGGCCTAACCTGCCATCAGGGCCATGTTCTCAGCCCTGTGAAGCCTCACATACTCCGCAGAAGCTGCCGGCAGCCCACGATGCTCCAGAAGTCCTGCCCACCGCAGCCACCATGGGGCCCATCGATGCACCTCCTGGTGAGTCTTTTATGATATAGACTAGAGGCCCGATGCATGAAATTCGTGCAAGAGTAGGCCTTCCTTCCCTCGGCTTCCGGCACTGGTTTCCCTCTGGCACCAGGACCCGGGATTCCCTCATAGGCAGCCCTGGCTTCATCCGGAAGGATGCCCGGTCTAATTAGCATATTATGCTTTTATTATTATAAATATACATAACCAATGGACAGAGACAATAGTGTGGTGAAGGCCTGGAGTAGCTCAGGGGCTGGAAGAAGGGGGGAGGGTACAGAGAGTGGGGGACATTTGTAATACTGTCAATAATAGTAAAATTGTAAAAAAAAAAGTCCCGCCACCCTCTTGCCTCAACATCCCCCTTGTACAATGGGAACCACCAAGGTACCTACCCCATGAGGACAACATGTTAAGATACTTAAATTATCATCTAGACTCAGAGTTGAGTTTAAACCTGGGCTCTACCTGTTCCTACTGAGGGATGCCTGTTTCCCCCTCTGGAAAGAGACATAGATCATTTTCTGATGCCCACAGGGACTGTTTTGAGACTCAGCTGCTTCCTATAATGACCCCAATTTGTTAAACACTAGCTGTGTGCCAGGCTCTGGCTGTGCCTGCTCCGTGTGCCTGTTTGCTCATCTGAGAAATGGAGCTAATAGAAAGATTCCAAGCAGAACACATGGTGGAGCTCCCTACACAGTGCCTGGTACCCTGTCCAATGCTAGAAGCCTGGGAGCTGTGGTGAGCCCTGCCCTTCTGAGTCCTGTCATCACAGTGGTTGCTATTTAACGCATGTAGCACTGGTCTTGCACACAGCAGGTGCTCAATAAATGCCCTCTTTGGAATTAAATAAACCTGGGATCTAATCCTGGCTCTAAGGCCTTGGACACCTCACTTTCTCTTCCTGAGCCTTGGTTTGCCCATCTGAGAAATGGGCTCACCATGGGCACTGGGCAGGAGCAGCACCCGGCACCCAGCAGAGCCTAAGACTGAGTGGCCAGGATGGCAAGTGTTGGGCTGAGCATTTGTATGTAGGCAGGGTGGCAATGACCTCACCAACCTACCCTTCAAAGTGTGACACCCCTCCCCCACCCATGACCTCACCCCCAGAGTGGCCAGTGGAACTCTGAGGGGTCTGTGAGGTCACCCCATTCCGCTTCACAAAGATTCTCTTGGGGCAGCAGCCACTGGCTGTCTCTGTCCCGGGGAAGCTTCAGAGACCCTGGGACTCGGGAGCCGTGGTCAGGAAGAAGCCCCTGAGAGGGACACAGAGTGCTGGGAACTGAGGACACTCCAAGTGCTGACCCCGGGAGGCCAGAACCAGGGACAAAAGTCTTGTGGGCGTGCGGAGTGTCATTCAGCAGGTCCAGGAGGCCCACCGCCACCAGGCCACCATGGTCCTTGGCTGCCTACTGCTCCTGGGGATGGCTCTGCCCCTGGGCACAAGAGGCACCAAGGACCGTATCTTCTACGATCTGACCAAGTCCTTGACCTGCCCCGGCAACAACAAAGGCTGCATGCTGTCCACTCCCTACGAGCACCCTGAAGAGCCCCTCACCTACCAGCTCATCTCCACCTGCCACTATGGTGAGCTGTGTAACAGGGCCCCGACCCCTGCAGGCAGCCTGAAGGCTGGGACCACCACAGGCTGGATGCTGCGTGTGCTGCTGCTGCTTCAGTGACTGTGGCCAGCGTGGAGGGCAAGGCCTGGGACTGATCTCAGGGCTCCACTGCTCCTTGTGGCCCCTGCCCCTCCGTCTCTCCCTTCCCCCATTAAATGGCCAGAGGCCCGAGACAAAAAATAAAATATTAATTTTGAAAATCTATACAGTACTTTTTCATGGGAATGATAGTGTAACGGACTTTAAATATAAGTAGTAGTTTATCATGCTATTATAGCTAAGAGGAGTGATGAGTTAAACTGTGAAAGGTGATTGCTTAAAAAAAAATACAGGGCATGGTTGGCTGAACTGCATGTAGATCTTTTAAGACTGCTTGTATCACATTATCTAGTGATTCTCCGACTATTAGAAACCACTGCCACCCCTCAGACTAATAAAATCAGAATCTCTGGGGGTGGGCCCCAAGCTCTGGTAGTCTTTTAAAGTTCCCTGAGAACCGCTGGCAAAACAGAATGACACATTCTGTCCCAAGATTTTATTGGGTGAGTGTCCTTGTATTTTAGAATTGGGGTGGCAGCAGAAGAATAACTAGGGAACTTATCACTGTTCTTCCTCATGTTAAATATTAGAAAAATCTATCCCTAAAAGAAATGTGAAAATCAAATTGGCTTGTTACCTAAGAGGCTAGACATCAGCTATCTTGTATTATTTAACACCCTGAATTAAATTCAACATTTCTACATGTTTCTGATTCTCTGAGGCAACTCTTCACATCACAAGATTAATGTTAATAACACCTAATTGTCAATTTATGAAAACTGGTAGATCTGAGATATCCAAAACTGATGCATTTAAAGTATTGTAGGAAGAATATTATGTTTTGGGGAATTATATTTGATACTTTTAATTTTTAGATAATACTGTTGATATTACATGGATTTAATGTAGCTGAATTATTAACTGGCTTTAAATTTTTGATGACTAAAACTAAATTAGAAGTAAATGAAAAAGGTTTAATCATAAAACTGCATAGATTAAACTTTGTTGAAAATTGTATTTTCCAAACATAATGATAATTAGAAATATAAACTTCTAATTAATCACATAATATTTACTTTCCTACCATTATATATTTGTGCTCAATTCATGGTCAAACAAGTGTGGCCAGTAGTATGATATTTAGAATTGATTTACTTATATCCAATGATTCAGGATGATTATAAGACATTAACTTATATCCAATGATTCAGGGTGATTGTAAGACATTAATAAGTAATATTTAAAATCTAAAAAGACACCAGTGGCAACTGACTATACACTATAGTAGGTGATAAATGTACATAGGATTTTCATTTTATTATTTTCATGTGGACGTACATAATCTGCTCTTTAATCATTGCGCATTTTATTCTCATTGTGGATGATAAATACCTTTTTGTTACTTTGAGTTAGACTATCTTAAAATTACTAGAAAATAAGGTTTATAACAATAATTATAGTAGAAAAAGAGCCATTGAAATCAGAGGTAGCAGATTTTCTATGTACTAGGATTTTAATTTTCTCATCTACAAAATAGGAGTATCTGATCCCATGATTGTTCATGTTTCTGCTTGTTCTAAAGCCTACCATAAATTTGAATAGCACATCATCATTTTCTCTTCTTTCAAGAAATGTTTTAATTTTGTCTCATAATTTGCAATTACTCTTATTGAACAGATATGTATTGAGCATGTACTACGTGCCAGATAAGTTGTTACATGCATGGGAAACATCAAAGAACAAAACAGACATTTTCCCTGTCTTCTTGGCAAATAAAATTGTTAAGAACCACTTAGTAGTTCAAGAGAGTAGAAGTTATCAGGATAGCTCAAGGATCTTGTGCAGTGCTGGTGTGCAAACTCGCTAGGAGCTGGGAATCTCTCCTAGTTTTACCATTTCTTTCCTTTGTTGCTGTTTCTGTTCAATAGACATCAATCAGTGTTTCTCATCTCAACATGGAAAATTCCATGTAACAGAGATTTGTAAGGTATGAAGGGAGAAAATATGTCTGATCACTTATGGGGTAACAAATGCCACAGATACAGTTCTGTTGTGGCATCTCAGTTGTCCAGAACACACAGCTAGGAGTGGTTCCTTCTTTTAACAATCTTAATATGAATTTTCCCTTCTTTATCACTACTCTGATGGAGGCATGTCATTTGAATTTATAAATACAGTGAAAGGGCTACCAGGCTTTAGGAACTTTAAATTAGCATTAATAGTTTAATTTTCAATTCCCACTGTTAAACTTTTTGTCATTTGTTATTATTCAAAAATATCTGCTTCTTGTTATTTGAATTTAAAATATTTTTCTTTCACCTTCTGAAATATTTGGACCTCCTTTTCAATTTATCCATTCCTCCCCTCCCCCTCTAACCACAATCTGGAAGCATGGTCATAAAGTGGGAGATGATAGAGCAGTTTTATTGCCTCTGGCTGTGCCTCCAGCTAACCAATCTGGCCACCGTCCTAGCTATTTTCGGAAGTTCTTCCACTCTTTGCCTGTGATCAGTAAATGTCTGATCTGGGATTCCTAAGAGATTCTCAAGGTTATAGTCCTTAGCAAGTAGATGGTAACAGTAAACATCTGGAATCATGACAGTATCTTCTAGAAGAGCTATGTGCCCTAATATCTGTGGTTTTGAATGTATAACTACAGAATTCTGAGTAGGAGGAAAACTTAGATGAGAAAGTCCACTTCTACAACAGCCCTGACCTAGCAGAAGGATCCTACAGATCCAAACTCCTCAGACTCATTTCTGAAGAAGATATGGCAAAAAGCCCATGGTCAGGCTCATGAGACTGTTCTGCATGGAGGAATGCTGATAGATAAATGGCAACAGAAATCTTTTTATTATGTTTATTATAACAATATTAATAATGGTGCTGACTCATTCACCATCCCTCCAATTTTTTCTTCTGATATAAATTCAAGAGAAGCTTGCAAATGACTAGTACATTAAAATATTTTAATGACTGTTTTGATAATGTGGACATTTTGAATCTCATCAGTATATTTCCTTCCATAACAGTTATGCAAAATGAATAAATTCTAGAGATCTGCTGTACAATATTATGCCTCTAGTTAACATGACTGTATTATACACTTAAAAATTTCACTGGGTAGATCTCATGTTAAGTGTTCTAACTATAAAAAAAATGTTTACTTGTTGGTTTTGTTTGATAGGAAGCTTGGTGACAAATTTTGAGGCTTTATTCTTCCCTGCCTATTCACCAACCATGGGATACTGTGATCATATTTCTGTACAAAGTGTCTATTATTTTCCTACTGCAATTTTCCCTTTCTCTAGTATTCTAATTTATTTCTCTTTGACAGTTGAAGCACATGTATCTCTTTGAGCCACATCAAATAATATTTTTCTTTTCTGGAGTTAGATCTATAATAAGTATAATTTAAATATAGTAAAAATAAAACTGAAAAGATTTCATTATAGTCAATATATTTGAAAGTAGGCTCTATTTACATAAACTAAAGGTCAAATAAACATTTCATTAGTAATTTGATTTTATGTATAAAATATTTTATCTAGATATTTAAGTATTTTCAGATTTAAATAATATAATGTTCTTAGATCAACAAAACTGAGAGAAATTCAGCAGAAATAAATGAAACAGTTTAAAAAATAAATTGACTCTATATTCGAATTTTCTCCAAATCAAAAATACTTGGAATGACTGGCAAATACCTTTAATGTATTGCATTTAAATAAATACTCAATTTATTTTTAAAGACATCTGACATCTATCCTTTGAAATGCAGATGACACCAACATTTTGAGTCAAGTTCTCCATCTACCAAAAGAGCATGTGAAATAAGAATGTAATAAGGAGACATAGGGGTTTCATGAATGAGAGTTTGATTATTTTCATGTTAAAAATTAGAATCATAAATATCACTGCTGTAGATCTGTAGGTCACATGTTTTTATTATATGATGATTGTGACTTTTGAAAAACTTCAGCACCTTACAAATGAGTTTATTAAAGATTGTGCAATTTAAATGCAAATGTGTATACTTTGCTTTGGCCACTAAGAGGTTTCAGAGTATATAATTAGGAGTTTAGTGTTTCAAAAGATCCATAAAGAACAATATGTTATTCTATAAATAAAATCAGACATGCCAGTTTTCTATGCTTTTTTCCTGATGGAGCTCAAAATAGTGTTGCTCCTTGGTTTTATAGAAAACACTTGCCAGACTCAAAAAGCTGCCACATCTCCAGATTACTCAAGCCTCTAACATGAGAAGGATAATATAGAAATCTTTGTCAAGTTCATTATATTATAATATTTGAATGATTTTAGGTTGGAGCTAATGCAAAAATATCTCTATAGGTACTTATGCAGTGACCTTAAGGGTAGTTCATAGGTGGCATACTTTATGACTTCACCTCAGTTTTAAATTGTATTCAGATTTTTTCAAATTCCATTCATGTCCAGCTCTATTACTCTGTACCATTACATTAGCATTCCACATTATATTTATAAAGCTATCCCATTGTTAGAGGCTTAATTGTGTCTCAGAAAGGCCTGGATTAAGGGAAATGGTACTTTGCAAACCCAGGCATGTGATTTCAAGCAAATAAAAATCACTCATCCTCCCGTGTGAGCCTCAGAAAATTCTTTTTCTTGATATATCATAAAGACCTAACCCCCAGAACGCAGTGGAAAAGGTATACCCCATTTCCACCGATAACACTATGGTTTATATTTTATAAATGTCCCGTGCTCTGGCAAAGTTTAAGGTGAAAACACATTATTAATATCAATTCTTTCCTTTATATCAACACACTTTCTATTGTGAATCAACTAGGAATGAATCAACTGAAAAAAAAAAAAATAGTTATGAGGACCATGATCTTAAATTTAGGGAGCGATAATGTCTGATTGGCTTTTGGAGAAACAGCAAGAATTTCCCAGTTGAGGATTAAAGAAAACACTGTGGCCTTTGGTGATGAAAATGATAGGAGCTGCACAGACACCTTGAGCTTTTCTTTTTTATT